TTAGAAGGCGATGTGATGCCTATAGCTATCTAACAAATTAAAACAGTGCGGCTTATAAAAATCTATAAGCATTACCATTAAGCCCTACATCAATTTATAGGTTTCAAGAACTCAACACATTCAAGTAGGATATCATAACAGTGCAAGGAAAGATGAAAAAATGCGACTGGGTGGTTCTGTTTTGCTTTGCTTGTGCCATATGAACATCTTCAAACAGGATACTGGATTTACATAACAAAATGAATACCATACACCGACCAGGTAGACAGTAGGCTGTAACCAAATCCACTTATTTACTGGTAGAGCATATTAATTCTACATCAACCATAATAATGTGGAGGTGTGCAAGACTATATCTCTAATCTCTAAGTTTCTAATTTAGCCCATTTGCAAAATGACACTCAAAATTACTAAATAAGATGTGACCCACAAAAGCGAAAATCATCTTGGAATTTCAGATGACTGTATGAACTCTTTCTCCAAGCTATATAGTCTAGTTCCTTCATTGCCTTTGCTTTGGTTCTGTGACTGGTCTTTAAGAGCACTTTGACTTGTCCTTGAAACTCGACAACTGGAGTGGACATTTGAACCTAGCACATCTTCAAGTGCTGTCTCAACTTGCCTCATTGTAGGCCTTTCTTCACCTTTAAAGTTTAAACATGCTTCGGCAAGCCTTGCAATAACTTCGGCATCTTTAGACCCTCCATCTTCAACAATTTGTGGATCTAGAATATCTGACAAGCGACAGTCTTTTATCATTGTCACAAAGTGTGATGCCAGGCTTTTTCCTTCTTAGGAATGAGAAGAGAAAACAGGTTTAACCCTTGTTAATAGTTCTGCCAAGATGACACCAAAGCTGTAAACATCACTCTTTTCCATGAGTCGGCTAGTGTAGTAGTATTCAAGATCAAGGTAACCGTGCGTTCCTTGGATGGTTGTAAGTATTCCTGTCTCATCCGTTGAAATTGACCTTGAAGCTCCAAAATCAGATACTTTTGCTGTTAAAGTATCAGTAAGCAATATATTTGCACATTTGATATCTCTATGGAACACATATATTGAAGCAGCACCGTGTAGATATGCAATGGCCCTTGCAGCTTCCAGTGCAATCCTTAGTCTGCCATTCCATGACAAAGGGTTTTCATATTGTCCATGAAGATGGTAGGATAGGGTTCTATTTTATATGAACTCATAAACTAGTAAAGGAACTTCAGTCTTAAGACAGCAACCAAAGAGCTTTACCACATTTCTATGGTTAGTTTGCGAAAGTATAACAACCTCATTTATGAACCGATCAATTTCCCTTTGGACCACAATTTTAGACTTCTTGATGGAAACTACACGCTGGTCAGATAAGATACCTTTGTAGACTGTGCCATGACCTCCACCACCAATGATGCGATTCTGGTCGAACTTGTTGGTTGCTTGTTCTAGTATAGGAGAAACTGTTTGAGCTTATGCATCTGAAGTCAGAAGATTGGGGTCCTATAGGCGACAACACGAAAAAGGCTGCGTCGCGTATCAGATCCAACGACCACTCCAGCACCACCGGAACACTATCCACCATCACCGGAACAGCACCGATTGGAAAAAACAGGTTGCTGAAGTTCCTCGCCATCTCGGCCTCGACTCTGCCGAACCAGTCCTGATCAACTATGAAAGCTGCTCTGTGGTAGTCGCCGGTTTCCCCTTCCAGATGCTTAGCCTGGATGCCGTACGACGGGCCGCGCCGAGCGACGCGATGGACGTGCGGCAGCAGCCAATGCCGGAGCACGAGGAGGCATCGGGTGTGTTGACGCAGACGGCGGCGCAGACGCTGGTGTAGGTGACCATGGCGTTGGTTGTAGGGGATGAGCTTCGCCAGCACGTTGCACCCGAAGGCCACGAAGGAGTTGCGCGCGCTCGACACCATCAGGGGTCCGTCGTCGGGCGTCGGAACGGACCATGACCCGTTGAACTCGGCGGCGTACTGTACCCACGAGATTTTCCTCTGGATGCGCACAGTGCAGTCCGGCAAGAGATGCCGAGCACCTGATCCGCGCCGTCCCCTTCCCCTAGCAGCAGCTTCGCCGGGCGCTGCGCCTCGTCGCAGGTGAGGTTGAAGCCCTCGTGGAAGCAGCCCCGGCCGATCCTGAACGGGTACGGCACTTGCACGCCGCCGCAGCTCTCCGGGCAACCAGGCAGGGCTATCGGGCCCGCCACCGCTGTCGCCACGAGCTGAAGCGTGAGGGCTCCGATCGTGCCCGACGTCGTCGTCGGTCGGCGACACGGGACGGCGACCGTCATCTCTCGGCTCTCTCAGCTTTACTACCGACTTCCGTTCCGTTTGTCGAATGGACTAATTGAAAATTGAGATGGCGGTAGGATATTTATTGGTCCAAAATGTGATCCGGCAATTCGCAATTTCAAATCTAGCCAACGACTTTCACGTAGTCCGTGTTAACTGCCTCCCCTCAGCCCTCACCTTGGCCTCCACCTGTTATTCATGGTGGCAACAGCAGTGGCGGCACCTCCCGTTGCCCGGCTGCCCGGTCGGAGACGTGCGGCAACATAACTGTCCCCTACGCCTACCCCTACCCCTACATGGACAACCGCCACGGCTGTTTCCGCGAGAGATTCAGCCTCACATAAGGATGCAAGCGGGCCTGTCTGCAGACACCCAGCGGGATACCGCATCATCTGCATGCAAAATTTGATTGCCCTGCAGCAACCTGCAGGCGTGTGCTAATTTGCCTGCACTTCCTGCTGGGTTCCGCAGCAAAGCACAAGCAGGTTTTGTGGACGCCTGCAAAGCCTGCCAACTAGTACGTATACTCAAGCTTACAATGCAACAGTCCAGAACTATGCCAACTGAACTATGCCAACTACTAGTACGTATACTGCAAGCTTACAATGCAACAATCCAGTACTATAATGTATCCAACTTCCTGGACACACTACTGGAGGCCGCGGCTTTGCCGAGTGTTTTTACACTCGACAAAGAGCCCTTTGCACTCGGCAAAGGCTTTGCCGAGTGTAGCACTCGGCAAAGTCCGCTCGGCAAAATTTTTCTCGGCAAAGGGTCTTTGCCGAGTGCTTTTTATCGGGACACTCGGCAAAATAAAAAAAAATTGCCGAGTGCTTGGGGCGGCACTCGGCAAAATATTTTCGGCCATTGCGGCGCCGGCCGTTAACGGTTATTTTGCCGAGTGCCCGACCCAGCATTCGGCAAAAAAAAATTTATTTTTTTAAAAATTTACTTTGCCGAGTGCCCCAGCCCAGGCACTCGGCAAAGTTTTTTTTATTTTTTTTAAAAAAAGACTTTGCCGAGTGTTCCTGCCCAAGCACTCGGCAAAGTTTTTTTAAAAAAAATTACTTTGCCGAGTGCCCCTGCCCAGGCACTCGACAAAGTTTTTTTTTGTTTTTTTAAATAATTTCTTTGCCGAGTGCCCCTACCCAGGCACTCGGCAAAGTTTTTTTTTTTTTTAAATAATTTCTTTGCCGAGTGCCCCTGTTTAGGCACTCGGCAAAGAATTTCTGAATTTTTAAAAAAAACTTTGCCGAGTGCCTGGGCGGGGGCACTCGGCAAAGTACTTTTTAAAAAAAAATAAAAAAAACTTTCAGGGCCCAAAACTGCCAGCAGGGATGTTCCAACAAAACATCAAGTTTCTAGGATTTCTATATACTCGTTTCTTCTTTTCTATTATTTTTGTTTCAAATTTGTAATAAAAAAATGCTGTGCAATGGAAACGATCTTGTCTACCTGCGATGTACCTACTATCAAGCGGAAAACCAGAGTACTAGGAAAAAAGTGCCCATTTTCAAATAAACTAGAAAACCTGGGCGCGGCTTTGCCTCGCCATCTTGATCACCTATGTTATTTTATTGCGCTATAGTTAAACAATAGAGTATTGAAGCTCAATAAGGAGCTCTAAGGTGTTTGATATTTTCTCTCGTTTTGTTTGACTGCTGTGCTCTCATTCTGTAGTTAAGCAATGTCACCCTACAATGACAAATTTAGAAAGCATAATAACATGATTCCAGATGGATAGCATGGAGGAGAAATAAATGTAGCTTATATAGCGGATAAGATCATAAGGGTACAAAAGCAGTGTCGACAATAAGTAATAAGAACTACATCAATTATTTAGTAGAAAATAAATAAAGGTCAGTTGTTATGGCATTCTTTAATGACAATCTTCAATGAAATATTAGACAAAATAGCATATGTACTTACAGATATGACTGTTGTATGTAGCAGCCAAAGACAAGCCTCTGATTTATGCTGATAAACATGAGAATGCTGTTAAGAACTCAATTAAGTGTTTGCTATTTATTAGACGGGAAGGTACATTGCAACTACACATTCAATCCACATCATCTTCCTTGTACGTAATCAGTATCTGTGAAAACTAACTTAGGAATGCCTACCTATCGCCAGAGCAGAGATGCATTTGACCCCTTCCTGCATGTTGTTTTTCCTCCGACAAATCTGAGTGTATCCAGCTTTTATATGTCTCTTTGGCTTATGAGTGGCCAATGATAATACCTACAACTTTGAAACCATGAACTGAGACCAAGGAAAACACAGTGTCTAATCGTACCAAGATAAATGTGATGGAATGCCTTAGCTCAAGCTGTAATTCTTAACATGACTTCTGCAGGCTAAATTAGCACATTCAGATAATTTTAGGCATGCACAAAGGTCATATTGTCACAAAGCTATAAGCATATGAAGACATATTATTATACTATATCCTAATCTAATAACCATTCAGGAACTCCTCCATCTAGAAGATTTAGCTTTTCACTTTACATAAGACTTCAGTTGATTTAATAAAGTTTGATGCAAATTATAAGTTATAACAGATTTGTTAGTGTGGATACAAGTTAATTTAATAAGTAATATAACATACTAATGCTGATAACCTACTTCTGGGCTCTAATTTACAGCACTGTGTATCACTACAGTGCCAAGGCAAATGTCGAGCACATTACGCAGCTGTTTGCATATCCTGATATCAATGCATTGTAAGGTCCAGATGTCCATGTGTGGCAATGCTCTCAAAAGCTGAACAACATCAAATACTGTCTATTTAATAGATTGCCAGCACCTAAATAGTGTACTTAACAAACAAAAGCGGATACCTTTGAAGGCTGAGTTTGGCTTCTTTCCCACTGCTGACAAACTATCTTGCGATGCAATTGTAGCCTGGTACTTTGGGGGAAGCCCCTTCACCAGATGCTTGCCACTGCTATGATTTTCGTTATTCATCACAACAGCTTCATCAGAACTTACTAATTTGTCAGCGTGTGCATTCATCTCTTCTGGAATCTGCCCAGCCGCTTCTTTTGAAGTGTTGCAAGTGAGAGAGTTCCTCCTCACAATCCTTTTCTTCTTAACCTCGAGTCTCTTCAGACTCTGTGCTTCCTTACGTTTCTTCCATTCATCATTGCCAACAGCCTCAATAACAGCAGGGAGTGAACTAGTCCTCATGAGTGTGCCTGCAATATTCAGTAAGTATTTACAGATATTGGGAATTTGCGGAAAGCTGTTGATGTTTATTTCAAGAAACACTGAGATATTCGATTTCTCAACATATGACTGTTACATTAAAACATGTATTCTTTCGTTTACATTGGCATTATGCTTTAACAAATCTATATATTAACTAAAACCAATTACAAAACTACAAACCAAAGCGATCACAATCGGCACTGCTAAGCACGGAATCTAAAACCAAATTAACTATCAAGGGTAGCAAATACTAAAGATAGTATAAACCCCACAAAGAGAAACCATACGCACCTTGCAATCTCTGCCCATCACCTCCCGAAGAGGCAGAGGAGGGCTCCCGCTCGCCCGGCAGCCTCGCCAGCGTGTTCCACGCCGAGACCCCGCCATCAAGGCAAGAACCCCATCCAGCCTGCCCTGCTGCCTCCCAACCTCCGGCGCCTCGGCCAGGACCGGCAGCGAAGCTCGTCCACAGGAGGCCTTGCCAGCAAGGCGCAAGCACCTCCACCGGCGGCGTCGGCATATGCCGCCACGGATGACGACCGGGTGAGCTTGTCCCCTTCTGTCTAGCCCGAACCGGCCGCGAAAGACAGCCCGAGGCTGAGTTCGACCTCCTCCATCTGCTTGCGCAGCTGCCCCGGCCTCTGCTCCGGTGGCGGCTCGTCTCCCTTCCCAATCCCGCACAGCAAGTCCCGCCGCCAAGGGATGGGCTGGGGCGCGCGCGCTGCCTGGCGCCGCTTCTTCTTCAAAGTCTGCGTGAAGTGCGGGCGCGCCTGTGAGCGCGCGTGGGCGGGAGGTGGCGCCATGAGGCTGGCTGCGCGGCGGCGGGCGGCAGAGGCCAACAAGGGCGGGCTGGCTGTGAATGCGCTTCTTGTGCAGCAAGCGGCGCGGCGGCGTGCAGCGGCGTCTTGGGGTCGGGAGCACGGGCGGCGAAAGATAGGGTTTGGAGGGAGGGGTGAGGTGGGCCAGTTGGGCCCTTTTTAGGCCATGGCGTTTTTTTTGATTTTCTTTGGCGAGTGCCTTTTGGGCGGGCACTCGGCAAAATTTGTTTTTAAACTTTGCCGAGTGTCATCTTTGTGCACTCGGCAAATTTTTTATTTTTATTTTTTGAAAACAAATTTTGCCGAGTGCCTCCTGGACCCGCACTCGGCAAAGACATTTTTGCCGAGTGCTCCCTGTGGCACTCGGCAAAAAATATATATATTTTTTATTTTCGACCCAAATTTTTTTGTGTAGCCTTGTGACAGTATTTAAAGCTCTACTCTAAAATTTGGTGAAATTTTGACTCTAAAAAATTGAGAAGATTTCGAGCAAGTAGTGACGTCGGATGCCAAAAACGAAGTGATCACATGGGAAACAAAGTGATCACATGTGGAGATGTCTGGGTTTTTGGCATCCGACGTCACTACTTGCTCGAAATCTTCTCAATTTTTTACCATAGCCTCCACATGCGATAACACGACGCCTCCACATGCGATGACACTCGGCAAAGTTTTTTAAAAAAAAAAAATAAAAACAAATTTTGCCGAGCGCCTGGCTTTCCCGAGTGCCACGCACTCGGCAAAGTCCAGATTTGCCGAGTGCCTGACTTTGCCGAGTGCAAAATTTTGCCGAGTGCTACACTCGGCAAAATATTGCTTTGCCGAGTGCCACGATATTTTGCACTCGGCAAAGTACAGTTTTCCAGTAGTGACATATGCTTACATCATAACAATTCTTGCATAAATTAAAGGTCATAAAAATCCAGAAAATATGCCGAAGACTTCCACGGCGCCCCTTCGTACTCTATAAAAGTTCTGTCCGTGCAAAGATCGACGCCTACATCTGACACAACACATGCAGCTGCGTTCATAGTTGACAGGGCATGGTACAGAATTTACGGATACGACATGCCCAGCAATATCACTTCCTTGGATTATTGGCCGCATTGAGTTCCGGCAGTGCTGGAGTGGTGGTTCGATTTGAGCCGTGCTCAGGACCTGTACTTGTTCTCGGGATTGGATGACCCCCGTGGCAACAGATGCATAAGCAGCAACAGCTTCGCCTCCTACATAGACGACGCAAACCATACATCACAGATGCAACAGCTTCGCCTACTACATAAGCGAATACGGTGCAGCTGTTCCCAAGGATATGAAGGGAATCCATACATCACAGATGGATGCCAAGGTACTGCTTTCATGTATTCTTGCGATCATGTACGTAGCGAATCATTGACACTTGTCTTAGCTAACACTAGCCCATCAATCAGTGCTCGCACGTGCTAGTATCTTAGAATATATAAGCATTAGTTTTTATTAAATACCTCTGACTAATAAAAACATTATATTAAATTGTATATTTTATGCTAGTATCTTAGAATATATAAGCATTGGTTTTTATGTAATACCTCTGACTAATAAAAACATTATATTAAATTGTATATTTTATTTGTTCATTTTTTACGATAGGCATAACGATACTCGGTAGTCTCTATCTAGTTATGATAAACTTATAAATTATTAATCTATATATTTTTTCATCCATATCCATAGTTTTTTTCCCATTTACATGGCACCTCTGAGTATCTTGACATGCATTTAGTTAGAATCTTACCTTAAGCTATGGTACCTCTTGCTGCAGGCCATATCTTATGACGCCATGAATCTAAAATTTGTTTTTTAAAATATTAATTGTACTGATTTCTATAGATTTTTTATCTCTAATTTAAGTTAAAACTCTTGTGATTACTGTATCTTTTGTTAACACTCATTTTATGCTTTTAAAAGTAAGGACTTTAGGACGCACTCTTAAGTACTACGATGGCATAAACAATCATTTAAAACATGCACCGTAATCAATGGTGATTATAGTCTACAAAATTGTTAGCTAGATGTTTATGATTTTTGTTAGAATTTCTAGGATTTATATATTTTTTCTGGCAGGCTTCATGAGGATTAGCATGGAGGCTCCATTATATTAAAAACATTTAGTCAGAATTTCTAAGCTTTATTGTTTCAAAAAAAAGAATTTCTAAGCTTTATATTTTTCTCCTAGGGCGGTATGTATTTAGTTAAAAACCTAGTTTAAGTATATAAGCTTCTAGTGCACCCTTTTTGTTACACAATGAATCTATGTTTAGCTTTCAAGTTTTGAGTTAGTTGTTGCAATTTTTTTATCCACATGTTTAAGTTGAAACTCTAGTGCTTGTTGTATCTTTTATTTAGGTCCTAGATTACCCTATTATTCTTACATTTCAGCTTGCACCATGACATTCAACATTTAAATTTGTTATATGACAGAATTAAAATATGTCATATCATTGTTTCATAAAACATAGAGTGCTTAAAATTAAATTACTAGTATTGATATGGCATTAATATTTCAGTCAAAATGTATAAACTTATTTATAATAACAACTTAAGAAATTTATTATCATAGAGTATTAATATAACTTAAAATGAACCGTCAGTGTCATTGCTATGTGTTTTGTTAAGGGAACATTTTTTCACGCTTGTTAAGATATTAAAATAAATATTTATACCAATGTATATATATTTATTTGGTCAAGATGGTAGAACATAGCATCATGCTTACTTTTTTAACTTAACAGTTGTAGAAGTGTATAATTGATAAATCTATATACCATACTTTGTAGATATTGAATTAATTTGTCATGCTAGCTTATATTAGTATTTATATGTAGATTGTTGCGACATATTTTTGTTTATTTTGTGAGGACCGAGGTGGGTAATTCAGATACAAATTAAAATGTGCTACTTTATATTGTTCCATAACATATATAGGTAATTTGAATGCAAACGTAGTGATTATTTTGCATTTTCTCCATAATGGCAGAGGTGGTTGATTAGATACAAGTTATGGGGTTATTTTGAATTATCTTTTATAATGGTAAATGTAGGTAATTTAGATGCAATTTAGGGATTATTTTGAATCGTCATTGATAATGGCAGTGGTGGGTAATTTCTATACAAATTCAGGGGTTATTCCAAATTATCTTTTAAAATGGCAGACATGGGTAATTTAGGTGCAAAATTCGAGGTCATTTTATGTATTTTTCATAATAATAGAGGTGAGTAATTTAAAAAAGATCTAAATAGACCCGATAGCTATTATTGACGATGATGATTGCTCTACCAAATTTAAGGTTAGATGCTTCTGATTATTATGAAAATTTCTAGGATTTATCATTTTTTCTAGCACATCTTATGAGAATTAATGTGAAGGCTCCATTAAAGCCTATAATTAGTCATAGTAAGATAATAATTGCTCCGCTTTTGTGTATACACATTTTCAAGAAGAAGAAAAATATTATGACTTTCTGATGTACCACTGGTTTTTCACCTATATAATCTTTTCCCGTTTCAGATATCAATGAGTGTTTACAGCCGAAGGTAACATGCCGTGGAACCTGCGTCAATGTGCCAGGAACATACAAATGCTCACCAAAGAAAAGCATCAGGAGCCTTCCAGGTACCAAATACATCTTGCTTGAAATAAAATTTTCCTTCAACGCTACGATGTATCTCGTGTTCCTCCAGTGACACTGATGAACCACCTGCCAAGGATAATCCACCATGTACATGAAGGGCACACAATAAAAATGATTGGCTAAAAAATTCTAATATTTCTCCGCAGTAAACCATGTGGCTGGAAAAAATAAACTAAATGAACCCCCCTCCAAAAAAAAAAAATGTTCCCTATGCTTTTAAATATAGCCGCTTAGGACAAGCTAATTTGTTCAAAGACTAATTACCTTGTCCTAACATCATACAACTAAAATCAAAAGGAGTATTAACATTCTATATGGTACAATTTAGTAATTTGAAAAGTTCCTCATATATGTATTGTAAACCTTTGGGTTATCTTCTACAGGTTTAATCACTGTAATAGCAATCAGTGGTGGTTTTGGACTACTATTTTCACTTCTTGGTGTTACCAAAGTCTCCAAAAAACTTAACCAACGAAGTGCCAGGAAGCTGAAACAATAGTTTTTCAAGAGAAACCATGGATTGCTTCTCGAACAATTGATCTCTTCAAACAAAGATATAGCCGAAAGGACGAAGGTTTTCAGCTTAGAAGAGCTAGAGCAAGCAACCAATAAATTTGATCATAATCGAATCCTCGGTGGTGGAGGCCATGGCACAGTATATAAAGGCATTTTAGCCGATCAACGCGTTGTGGCCATAAAAAGTTCCAAAATTGTGGTTCAAAGGGAAATCGATCAATTGATAAATGAGGTCGTCATACTTTCACAAACTAACCACAGAAATGTGGTGAAGCTCTTTGGTTGTTGCCTCGAGACTGAAGTTCCCTTACTAGTTTTTGAGTTCATATCAAATGGGACCTTATCCTATCATCTTCATGGACAAAGCGAAAGCTCTTTGCCATGGAAAGATAGATTGAGGATTGCACTAGAAATCGCAAGGGCAATCGCATATCTACATTGTGCAGCTTCGATATCGGTGTTCCATAGAGATATCAAATCTGCAAATATACTGCTTACTGATACTTTAATAGCAA